GTTTCTGAAATTTTTTTTAGCTCGTAAAAGATTTATTATTCATTATAATTTTATTTTGTCAGACATGTAGAAGACCATTCTAACTTGCTAGGAACAACTTTAAATTATGTTGCACTCAGAATTCTGGGAATGGATCCTGAGCATCCCGTACTGGTCAAAAGCAGAGCATTCATACATAAACTTGGTGAGTCATTGCTAGTTTTTTTTTTTTTTTTTTTTTTTTTTTTTTTTTTTTTTTTGTGGGTTTTTTTTTTTTTTTTTTTTTTTTTTTTTTTTTTTTTTTTTTTTTTTTTCGAGGTCATTATAACCTTTTTTAAAACAGGTGGTGCTGTAGCTATTCCATCTCTTGGAAAGTTTTGGTTAGCAATGCTGAATCTTTATGATTGGAAAGGAGTTAATCCGGTCTTACCAGAATTATGGTAAATACAAATAATTCTCATTTTAGTTTTATCTAATAATGTACATTCAATCACTGAAATTCAAATAATTTTATTTACGTATGAAGGCTTCTTCCATACAAGTCACCCCTTCATCCAGCTCGCTTATGGGGTCCAATACGTGCTTCCCATCTCTCTATGAGTTATCTTTATGGGCGTAAAGTAACTGAAAAAATAAATCCATTAATCAAACAATTACGAACTGAATTATTTGCTCAACCATATGATAAAATTAATTGGTCTGCTGCAAAGAACAATGTTTGTGAGACTGATATATATTTTCCGCGGTCTCCAGCTTTAGTTGTCACTAACAGTGAGTTTTTTTTGCTCATTTTATTAGAGGTGTATCCATTACCGTTTAGTACTGCTTATAGTATCCAGGACCCGGATTTTGGTTAAAATCCCGAAAATAAGAATCCCGACAGGTCGAAATTTTAAAAACTTGGTCAACATTAAGGTAATCCTGGCTAACTTTGTCGGGATTTTGACCCTGTCAGGATCTGTTTATCAGGATTTTGACCCAAACACCCAGGATCTTTTTCAAACTTTTAAAATTGATTAGTATCCGGGTACTTTGTATAGAACCGGGTACTATATTTGAATACAATTTATATGTAAAGGTAATAAACTAGTCTAGCTACACTCTAGGTATTCAATACCCGGCTCTTAATCATAGGAATATTATACACAGTGCAAAACGGTATTGACGGCAGGTGATAATAATAATAATAAACTAATGTTGTTAATTAAATTTATTAATAAAGCGGTTTCAAATATTTGGGATAATTTCCAAAGCTTGTTGGGTATTCGTGAAATCGCATTAAGAAAGGTTTATAAATTAATGAAACTCGAAGAATTTGATTCTAATTATATTTCTACCTGTGCGGTATGTTGAAATTTTTTTTTTACACTGTAGACAAGTTATCTCATTTGTTAATATATAAAACTTTCGGATGATTTATTTTAATAGATTGATAAATTATTTCGTTTGGTTTGTGCTTACCATAAAGAGGGACCAGAATCTGAGATGTTCTTAAATATGAAGGATAAAATCGCAAATTATATATGGTTCGTATGATATATTTTTACTTGTAAAGTTACTTATTTATGTTATACTATTCAAATAACGATTTATTGCAAAAAGTATTTAATTATAGTATTTTAAAACAATGTTTAGGATGACTCCAAATGGGATGTTAATGAATTACACTGATGGATCTCAAATTTGGGATACTTCACTTGCAGTACAAGCAATAATAGAATCAGGTAATAAATTTAAGAATATCTAAAAGAACACACAAATATTTGTTACACATTTATTTATTCTTTTTACATTTTCACAAGGTTTAGCAAATGATTCAGATAATTGCGAATCAATGATTAAAGCACTTGAATTTTTAGATGATTCACAAATAAAAAATAATCCAACATATATGAAACAATGTTGGAGAGAACCTTCAAAAGGATTGTGGTGTTTTAGTACAAGAGAACAAGGGTGGTCAGCCAACGATTGTACTGCTGAAGCTTTAAAAGCAGTATTACTACTTCAGGGTAGATTAGAGTAAGTCCTTTTTATCATTAAACTATTCTTTTAAACTATACTTTTACAAGCGGTACTAATGATTTTCGTTCAACTTCTACATGATATAAGTTACACACAGCCATTAATTAATCAAAAACGAATTCAATCTACAATCGATATTTTAATCAGAAGACAACATACCAATGGTGGATATTCATGTTTTGAAGGTATTCGTGGTTACTGTTGGATGGAATTGATAAATCCTTCAGAACTTTTTGAAAATACCTTTATTGAACATACTTACGTTGAATGTACAAGTTCTGTTATGACTGCTTTAAGAATATTTTCAAAATTTGATCTCGTAGATCATTACGTTGATGATATTGAGTAAGTTTTTATTGTAGACGAAAACGTTGATATTATTGATTAGACTAATTTTTGATATTACAATAAATTATTTTAGAAATGTTTGCGCAAAAGCAGCGAAATATATTCATAGTATGCAACGTAAAGATGGCAGTTGGCTTGGATCTTGGGGTATTTGTTTTACATATGGTACAATGTTTGCAATTCAAGGATTATCGAGTGTTGGAGAAAATTATGAGAATAGGTGAGTGATTTTTAGATTTAATAAATGTAAACATTCGAAACTTAAACTTATAAGAAAAAATCAATTCATTTTTGGTGATAGCGAATATGTAAAAAAAGCATGCAACTTCTTGGTTTCTAAACAACGCGAAGACGGTGGATGGGGAGAAGATTACAAGGTATTTGTGAATAAAAAAAACTGATTATCAATGTTTGATTTTAAAATTTAACTATTTTCTTTGGAATATTATTAGTCTGCATCTGGAGTAGGACAATATATACAACATTCAAATTCGCAAGTTGTTAATACAGCTTGGGCATTGCTTGGACTAATGTATGCAGAATACCCACTTAGTGAACCTATTATAAATGGAATTGAGGTAATTTTTATTCATAACATCAAACTAAAAATTGGCAATCTTGATAAATTGGTTCTTTTTAACATTTACACGCTTCTTTAAAACTATTATAATAGTTTATTAAGTCGAAACAACTTCCAACAGGAGAGTGGAAGAAAGAATCTTTTAAAAGTATGATTGGCAAAAATTGTCCAATAAATCACTCAAATTACGAATCTATTTATAGTATTTGGGCATTAGGAATGTATTCTAATTTATATGAAAGTGATGAAAATTACCGTTACGGTGTCTGGGAGATAATTACTGGATAATTCCATATCTATATATCAGATATGATCTTATTTGGATTTACATAATAATTTTATTTATATACAAGTTATTTGTCAAAATTCTGTAATTTAAAATTTATTCATAATTCAAAATTAATTACATATTGTAACTTATGTACATAATAATAAAATACGCGTATTTAAGTTATTAAAAATTGAATTGCTATCTTTCTTTAGTATTCATAAAATAACGATCACATCGATATGCGGTATGGTATCATGATTCAAGTCAGGAACGAGAAATCACGAAATAAGGTAGTGGACGAGGAAAGTATCAAAACAAGTAGAATGTCACGTGATCGTATGCCCTCCGCATTGCCATTAATTTAGCGGTTTGCAAAAAGGTGTGACCCTGTGATTTCGTGATGATGATAACGGAAAAATTTCTGAGATTTTAATTCCCTATTGATCATAATTTTCAATCAATGACGTCTATATTTTATTCGAAATCTTTAAAATTCTCCAAGAATCGAAAAATCTACTAGAATCGGCTGATTTTTCATGATCTGCAGAGGTCACACCTTTTTGCAAACCGCCATAATAAAAGTAAAAGATAAGCCTGCGAATTTCGCGTTGCTACATACACGTGGGAATTTTTTGTTTATGAATTTTTGTTCTGCTGTTAGGCGAGCAAGCGAAAGTCCTTTAATTAAACATATATATTAGGGTTTGAGTCACAAGAAAAATTAAGCATTACTTTTAGTTATGCCCTATATGAACGTCTCCAAAATTTTTTATCACGGTGCTAACTTCTTATCACTTTTATTTTTTAACTTTTTTCGTTATAGCTTCCCATCAATAGCCGGCTAATTGGAAATAATTTTGGCATATGTAACCAAAGCTAAGACTAATTGGACTTAAAGCTAAGACTAATTGATCTAATTAAAATAAAAAAATATTAAGGCTAATATAATAATAAACAATACTGCAGCCCATACTTTTACAAGAAAACTATGGATCTTACTGTATGTATATTCCTTAAAAACGTTCCCACCAAAATCGCAAGCTAGGACGGACAATTCGGCCGAATCGATAAGTTACCGATTCGGAATCAATAAGTTACTGAGTCGGCCAACATCAAAAACTTATCGATTCGGTCATCAATAAGGTTTCCTAAAAATAATAATAATGAAACAGCTGTAAAAATTATTGATTCAGCCGAATCAGTTTTAGCGTATGTTGACTATAATTTGATACAGTTCTATACACAGTATATACATAATTTGATTTTCTACTCTAATTTTAGCGCTATCACTACCCTATCACTAAAAAAGTTAAAATTATATCAACAACGCATATCCAGTGTATATGTATGTGCATACCTACTAACCTATAAATACTGTATATATATATATCTAAATTTTATCACAATTAAAATTTTGATTTACAGCTATTATCATAATTCCTGAAACACGATAAAAATTAGCCGAATGATTTTTAGGCCGATTCGGTTAAGTTTGTAATTTCGGCATAATAGATTCGTATGTACGTACAGTACGTACGTAACTTATACATTAAATAGTGCAACGGCATAAAAGGTTTGCCGCCATTATTAAACTTTATGTGCCGGCTCTACGAAAGCTCTGAGTAATGCTATTCACTTAACAAAAATTATATGTAATTTTGACTTCAGAAACTTATACAAATTTACAAAATTATAGTAATTTTCACCCTATATTAATATATGAAAGATATATATGAAACATATGTCACATATTATACTTGATCTACATATTTTATCATGTTGGTTTGTTTAGTTTGTGCTAAAACTTATGGAAAAGCTTATGGATACGCTTATTGAAAAGCTTATGGAAAAGGCTAAATATTGTCAAGAAATGTAAAAAGGCTCCAGATATAAAATAGGCAGCTATGATAAACATATTACATGAGATATGGTCAAGAATTTTGTCGATTGGTTTAGATATGACTCAAAATTCCGTTCAAAAAATCCTAACTTTATTAATATTTGTCGTAGAAGTTTTCAATATATTCATATCTTCGAAGCTGCTTGAAAACTCGACTTACTGTATAATGACATGCTGTGTTTGCAATTTTCGAAATGATAAGCTTTTCAAAAAAAAAATTTTCAATTATTTGCCAGAGAAGATGTTTGAAAGCATCGTGTTTCTGTATTTTGATTTGAGATATAATATTTATATTAATCATCTGATCTTAAATTCATACGCGTACATACGTTATCAATTTATAGAACTTAATATTCGGCTAATTTTTATTAGGTGTTTCAGGAATTATTATAATAGCTGTAATCGTTGATATATATTTACAAATAAAATCATCTCTAAGCCCCGATTTGCTGTGAAAGAATCCATTTTTTACATAAAAAAAATAATAGAATTTTACCTGCATCAGAAAAATTAAATAATTGCAAATCTGCAAAATTTTTCATAACTTGAAATTTTGCACAGAATTGTATTTAATTTCTGTGGCTATAGTTGCTGAGTCTGAAGTTTTACGCAAATTTTCATTTAATTTATTATTTAATTTTTGCAAGTCTGCACAGAACTGCACTAAAAAAAATTTTCCAGATGTAAATCACTTGCAAAACGCAATTAATCAACCAGACTCGTTCTAAAGGATATAATAATTACAATTGACTTCGGCATGATTGGTATATTTTATATTACATTTAAATTGTCATAAGACTATTTTGTTGTCCTAACCAAAGTTTCATCTCTGACTGTAATTTAAGCAAATACCAGTCAGATTTTTCTTTTATTAAGTCAAGATATTTTATATCATTCAAGTTTAGTTAAAACATAGGGATGTTATGTGGTTTGATCTAGACTGATGCCACAGTTAGTCTTAAGGCTGGTCTGGAATTGAAAAGAATTGATATTCTTTAAGTCTTAGGGCCAGACCAGTCTTGACCTTAAGACTATAGACCATAATAGGCCACCAGTGCCGAACCAATAAAGTCCAGTGTTACAAATCGAAAGTTGAAAAAATCGATTAGTTGGTTAGTTGACAAATAATCAATTGAACTTTTTAGATACCAACTAATTGATTAATCAATTAATCGACTAATCGATTAGTTACAACTAATCAATTAAAGAATTAAGTACTAATCGATTAAAAAATTATTATAGTTTGCAGATCAAAAAAAAAAAAGAAATCGATGATTTCTTGCCGATTTCTTTAACATTTTTTGCAAAAATAAAAGTTGTAGATTCATAATTTTGTGATTAGCATCTTTTGTAGGAATACATTTTGCATACTCTTCATGTTGTAAAGAACTTGATTGTGTAATATTAAATTTTGTTTCTTTTCTAGCCCGGTAAAATTTACTATTGCATAATAAGCAAGAAAATTTAAAAGCTGCACTAAATTCAATCTTATAAGAATTATTACATGATATTGCTAGCTAAGGAACTTTAGTATAACTTTTTTTATTGGAATATATACATTTTTTCATTGCAATAAATTTTAGAAGTTGACAAA